CAGTTGATTAATGTATTAACATTTGATTAATTTATTAACAGTTGATTACTTTATTGACAGTGGATTTACTAACAGTTGATTAATTTACTAACAGTTGATTAATTTATTAACAGTTGATTAATTTATTAACAGTTGGTTAATTTATTAACAGTTGATTAATTTATTAACAGTTGATTAATTGATTAACATTGGATTAATTTATTAACAGTTGATTATTTTATTAACAGTGGATTGACTAACAGTTGATTAATTTATTAACAGTGGATTTACTAACAGTTGATTAATTTATTAACAGTTGATTAATTTATTAACAGTTGATTAATTTATTAACAGTGGATTTACTAACAGTTGATTAATTTATTAACAGTTGATTAATTTATTAACAGTGGATTAATTTATTAAGAGTTGATTTACTAACAGTTGATTAATTTATTAACAGTTGATTAATTTATTATTAGTGGATTTACTAACAGTTGATTAATTTATTAACAGTGGATTTACTAACAGTTGATTAATTTATTAACAGTGGATTAATTTATTAACAGTGGATTTACTAACAGTTGATTAATTTATTAATAGTTGATTAATTTATTAACAGTGGATTAATTTATTAACGATAATAATGAAAGTTAGAGAATGATAAATAATCATTGGGACTCGACACTAGAAGAGGCTCGACATTGTAGATCAGCAGCTAAGGTGAGAGATCTTTTGCCATTCTCATAGCGACGTGTGGTCTCACAAATCCTCAGATATTATAGGAAAAGTCCCAAAATGATATGTCTGACTATATTTTGAACAGACTACAACAAAATAATCCCATTGTCACATATTATAATTTAGTTTATAACGAGGCGCTAACTAAGATTCAAGACCAAGTGATGGCTATATTTGGGAAGACATTATCAGATTTTGGAATGAACCGGGCCACAAGGAATCGGAGAAGTCAATAGTGATTTAATAAGAGAACTGGACTACAATGTCTCTTCTTTACAGCAACAAATATCAGAGTCTGTTCCTCGATTGAACACGGAACAAAAATTAGTTTATGATATTGTTGTGCAAAGAATCGATAATGGTGAGGGTGGATTGTTTTTTCTTAGATGCGCCAGGAGGCACTAGGAAAACTATTCAATAAATTTACTTTTATCCCAAATCCGAAAAGACAAAGGAATAGCTGTTGCCGTAGCTTCCTCTGGGATTGCGGCGACGGTACTCGATGGAGGCCGCATGGCACATTCAGTACTTAAACTCCCATTAAATTCCAGTTTGTAACATTACAAAAAACAGCGATAGAAAGCGATCGAAAACAGCGAATGGGCAGATAGCTGCTTGCCATCTTTTCTATGTTCGGAGCCTCAGTGACCCTACATTGTTTTAAGTACCTAACTAAGCAGATAATATTTTAAAAAGGCAAGCGACTGTTACTTGTCCAAACTTGCGTTTTCGATATTACGTACAATTTCGTGTACAGACTTGCAAAACGCTATCCGCCCGACAATGCTTAGTGCTTGTTCAGACATGAACTTGGTCACCACTATAAATACTTGATGCCAAAGGCAAACACTCATTCATTTGTTTCCAAAATTTCTAAAATTTTATTTTACCTATCGGAATATAGAGACAGAACTCAGAAGTGACACAATTTTTATTTTTTGGCGACTTTAAGAATGTGGTAGAAATGTAGCAGCAGGGGGTCCACCGAAACCAGTAAAATTTTGAAAGTGGTCCACGAGAAAAAGAAGTTTGAGGACTACTGATTTAGTAGCTCTAGCTATTATAATCGTAATTTATAAACAATAGGCACTTTATTTAAACATATAGGAGTTGTAGGTGTATAGATTTTCTTTTCAAAAGACTGTATGAAATGTCGATTAGAGAAAACAACAAAAGGTTGAGTGATCAAGAAATGAGTTGCATTAATGCCAGAATAGTTATCGTGATTATTCCGTTTTACATTATATTGAGATTGAAATTACTTTTTGTAACAATTAATTGTACAAAATAATTGTAAATATTTCAAGCTAAGAATTTTAATTTTGTTGCGAGATCATTGGGCCGATAGTGCGTAAAGATATTTTATAATTTAGCTTAACATTTGCTTGAAATACAGTTTATTTCGGGACATATATTGAGCTTATGATTTCCAACATATTCTGAACTGAGCTATATATATATAGATATATTATTCAAATGCATTTGATTTATTTTGATTAAAACGTATTGTCCATCGAGAATCTACACATAAAATTGGATATTTATGTAAATGTTATACTATGTATTATATTAAAATTGTTTTTTTATATTATATTATTATTATTATTATTAAGAGCATATCTAATTGCACAATTATTTATTACCTGCTGTACACACTAACCCTTACAGCTGTAGGTTGGCTGGAAGAGATTTCTTATAGAAATAAGCCCGCCTTTGTAAACAACAATTCTGGATGTAAAATAACTATGTAATTTTTCTTACTGTGCAATAAAGAGTATATATAAAATAAGCTATCAATGGATAATATGAAGTCTTATAGAAAAAATATCTATTTTTGTTAGTATTCTCATTTTTCTTTTCATATGAGTATATTTTTCATTAAAATTGTTTCACATGTATAAAAGAAGATATTAAAATATTAGATTTAATATATGGATATTAAAGCCACATAGCAATATAGGTTTCTATTTTTCATAGAGAGACTTTTTAATGAAGTTTACCACAAAGCTATAAAAAGCTTGTTTATACATACATATTACGTACTGTAACTTCGGTGAATTTTTTACAGTTAAAAATGATTATATTATTTGTAGACCTCAAAATGTCAATCTAATGTGTTCAATTCGCTTGTTAAGTATGTAATAAATAAAATTTGGTTATTCAATTATGCTACTGTAAATGTTAAGTATAAAAACAATGCACAAAATTGTATTGTGTGTTAATTGTATAATCCCACCGTCTGTTGTCCTATGTCGGATCCGCTATGACTAGTGAATATTGACTTGAATGGATAAGATAGTGGAAGATTCTAAGTTCTTGACCACGGTTAAGGATATAAGGTAAGTTAGTAATGTAAGATTATTTTTAAAAAAAAATAATATATTTATCCTTTATCATAATTGCTTTGACTTTCAATTTATATACCGTTCGTATTAAAAATATTGTTTTCTTTTTTTACTATTTTATATCGGTTAAATACTTCTCTTTTTGTTGTATAATTTAATGATACAAAAAGGAAATTAATCTCAGTGTAAAGCATAATATATGGATTTCGTCTTTTTATTTAATAATATTTCGCAGTCTCGTTATTAAAATGAATCATGTGAATATATGTATAATGGAGAAATTTAAACGAATTATGAGCACAAATTTTTAAATTTAATTAGTTCTATAAAACAAATATATGAAATGAATTTTCCTATGGCACTACTTATGAATTAAATATTTTAATACGTTTTTTTTATTTTTTCTTCTGTTTTAATTAAAGTTTAACTAAAACTAATATTAACAATAAATCATTCCATTATGAAATATAATATAAACATTTGGAAATATCATATACCAAAATATAAATCTGCTAGAAATTTAAATAAATGTGTTGCAGCAAATAAAAAACTCCCAATATATTGAAAAATATACAAACAAACTCAATTTGCAATAACCGTTCCAGTTCACTTGGATGAAAAAAACTTAAAAATGTGTATCACGTTGGGAATAAAGTTCGAAAATTTTATATAGGTATATTTATTTTCATAAAAATATTCAAACTTTTACTTAAAGTGTATTTATTCCTCTTGATTAGAATATGCCAAAAAGTATATCATACCAGTTATGAACTCCAAAGTTTCTATATTTTTTAAATGTCATCAGTTTCTTTAAAATTTACTGTTTTCATTCCACGTTCAATATATTTGTTTTTTTTTTTATTTATATATATATATATTTTTTAAAAATACAATAAAAATCCATCTATATCTCTTTATTATAACTATATCTATATCTCTTTATTATTCATCTCCTTTATCTTCATCGAACAATGATTATCGTCATCAATTTATAGATATTATACATGACTGGTATAACAGAAATTTGTCTCTCCTATACAAGATCCCCTTCATAAATAATATAAATATTTAGTAATAAATTAATGGTATCATAATATTTTAAATCAAAAACATATAAAATAAGAATTATAATGGTTGAAATAACAATAAACAACTTAAGAAATCAATTTCGGTGTGCTATTAAGACTCGTGCCCGTTATTAATTACTTGCCTTTTTTGATTAGTTAATTGACAAACTTTAAAGAAAACAATAAAAATATACAATTAACACTGATCTAAATAACATTCATAATAAATTAAGAAAGAAAACAGGTTTTTACAATGTGAAATACGATTTTATTTACACAACAAGGTTATCACTTTGTAGCACTTTCACTAGCACGCACTAACTTGAGAAGATTTTTTTTAATGACATTAATTATAATTTAAACAAAAAAATAAAAATATATATTTTCTCGTTATGTAATAAATGACGATATAGATTTGATTTTTTTGGTTTTTACAAAGCGTCAGAGGGTTTTATTATTGAAATAAAGAAATAATAATAGTTATACAATACAGTCTCCAAATCTAAAGCATTCAGTTCTATGTCAAAGAATATTATAATTTTCGACTACATTCACAATATCTTATAGCACACACAAGAAACTTCTACATATGTAGGCAACATGACAATTTTTTTTTTTTTATTTCTTTGCAGTTGAAAGATGTTACTATTAATATTGTTCTGCACGTCTGTGTTTCTGTTCTGGGCATATTCAAAACGAAACATAAACAAAAATGAACCACCAACTTACCTCCGTAAAGTCACAATACGCAACATGTTACGTGTTGCAAAAGACAGTGATCGTAAGTAACACGGAGAAGAATCTACTAATATATTTGTAAATTATTTAATTTTAGTGTGCTGTTATAATATAAAAATAAGTTGAAATTTAGGTATTTGGGCTTACTGGCAGAAATTAAGTAAAGAAGCTTTGAAACAAGGTGGTACACTAAAAACATCTTTCGGACCTCGTACTGCTTACGGTAACTTTAACAATTTAATTCTTTATTCCTACTATGTTTTAATACAATATATATGATCATTTTATAGTATCAGTAAAAATATATGATATCCCTTCTTTCATGAAGATACGTTTAATTAGATGGGAAATAGAAGCAAAAGTTTTTTAGTCACTGAAATGATTTATGCTAGAAATTTCGTTCTAATCCATAGACTAGAAATATTTCAAAATCAATTATTTAAGAGTCATATTTTTCACAATTTTCATCATAATTTCACAGTGGTATCTGATCCTGAAGATTTTTTAACAGTATCGAATGCCTGTTTTCAAAAGGATGCTTTATACAGCTTTGCCAAAGGTTGGCTCGGGGATGGTCTTATAACAGCACCAAGTAAGTTTTATATTCTCCTAAAATTACTTTTGTATTATTAGCATAAGTGTTGTATGAAATTCTTAATCCTATTATCTATACTAATATTATAAAGCTAAAGAGTTTGTTTGTTTGTTTGTTTGTTTGTTTGAAAGCGCTAATCTCCGAAACTACTGGTTCGAATTGAATTGTTCTTTTTGTATTGGATAGTCCAGTTATCGAGAAAGGTTGTGGGCTATATAACATCACGCTACTACCAATAGGAGCAAAGATATAGTGGTAAATGTGTAAAAAACGGGAGAAATTATTTCATCTTTGAAGCCTTCCGTTGCGTGCGCCGTGAAAACGGTTCAAGATACACAAAAAATATGTATTAAAGAATGATGGCTCTTTTAATGATCTAAAAAAACAGTCCGCGACAGTATATGTCTATCTTTTAAGATTAACTCATAAAAACCGTTGTTATGGTACCTAATTTGGTCGAAATAATTTGTTCAAGTTGTATCAACATAATAATATTAATCTTTATTCAAATAAACAAATAAATATGTTGTTGGTTAAGAGTACTTTTACATTGTGAATAAAAAAAACATAGGTTTTATCCTGAAAATTCTACGGGAACTCGACCATTCCGAAAACCCCGCAAGAACGGGAACTATGTGGGAAGAACCAAAAATCTGCCGGAAGTCACAATTCCACGCGGACGTAGTCGCGGCAAAACCTAGTGAATTATATTTGAGTGGCTCGAGCAAGATTTAGAATAACGTTATTATTTTAATATTGAAGGCAGTTTGTCATACCATATATGTATATACGTTTTATTTAGAATTGCACAAGATAATAAAGTACTATCTTTTTTTATTTACAAAAATATAACCAACTATATGTGCTTAATGTGTTCATGAAAAATTGTTCATTTAATATAAATTTCAATTTTTTTAAGTATCGAAATGGAAAGTCCACCGAAAGATATTAGAACCATCTTTTAGTCATCACGTATTGGATGATTTTATAGACGTTTTCAATGATCAATCCCGCCATCTAGTCAAAAATCTAGAAGTTGAAGTTGGCAGAGGTCCATTTGATCACTACATTTATACACGACACTATGCTTTGGAAACGATATGTCGTAAGTATTTTACTCACGATATATTACATTTTTATCACGATTATTAAATAAAATATATTAAAACAAAATTATTTATTATAACTTAAATTTAGCATACTGTTATTTTATATACGAAAAGTTCAAATACTTTTTTCTGTGAAGTATCTACATTCTTAATTAATTTTAACTTTCATATTGTTTGTAATTCGCAGTGACCGCTTTAGGTGCGAACTTTATGGATAATATTGAAATCAAAAATAGTTACACAGAGACGGTACAAAAATTATTTCAAATTTATGTACGACGATTACAGTTTTTTTGGTTGCATAACGATTTTTTATATAGTCTATCAAGTTTAAAAAAAGAGGAAGACAAATGCGTTGCTACTTTATGTAACATATCGAATACAGTGAGTATGTAATAAGGTATAATAATTGACAGTCAGTCAGTCAGTCAGTGCAGACAGTCATACAGTCAATGGTGGCCTAGTGGTTAAAAGGCCCGCCTCTCATGCACGAGGGCGCGGGTTTATCCTGGCAAGTACCAATGTGATTTTTCCAAATCATATGTACTTTTTAAGAGTATTTACTATTTAGACACTACTGACTGACGGTGAAGGAAAACATCGTGAGGAAACCTGGACTTACAATTTCACAATTATAAGTTTGAAATCACTAACCCGCCTTGAGCGAGCGTGGTGATTAATGCTCAAAACCTCTCCATGTGAGAAGAGGCCTTTGCTCAGCAGTGGGCTCTGATAGACTGATGACATATAGTATACAGGTATACAGTATACTGTATACAGGTTACTTTCTATAGCTCAAACATGGGTGATGAAGAATGAAATAAGCATTCTAAATACTCGTATTTAACCTTAATTTTAAAAAGCTTAAATTCAAGTAAATACAATATAAGTTGTCATTTTTACAGTCTTTAAAAATACAGAATGCTTAATTCAGTTACTCAAAATAATTCAAGTCAACTCAATTATTAGTCGTCTGGAACGTGATATTCCGGTTATAAGTTCGAAATCAGTGTCAATGAGTTTATATTTAAAATAAAACTTAAATTTTTGTTAAAATATATTTCAGATTCTAAAAAAAATCAAATCAGAGTCCAAAATAAACGTTACAAATAAGGAGGAGAACAAATCAAAAGGTAAAACAATGGCTTTTTAAAGATAATGAAAATCATTTTTATTTTACAAAGTTTTGATATTCATAAATTTTAAATAAGTGTGATAGTTAAATATTTGATTTATTTTGCTGAAAACCGAATATAAATTGGACGTTGAAAAACATTTTCTGCTATTAACTTCTGTTTTATGAAACGTTGAAAACTACTCTTTTTTACAAACAATACTTAAGTTATAAGAAAAAAAAAGCTAAAGAAAAAATTAAATGAAAGTCTCATTTTCATTAAAGTAAATTAATTATATTATATTTTTAATCAGACTTTAATCCCCTAAAATGTTGGTTATTTCTTTTTGAGTTTCCTTTTTTAAAGTATTACTTAATTTAAATATTTTATTCTGTAATATTACATATGTACTTTATTTTAAATATTTTTTGATTACTCCTAAATACACAAAACTTTAACAAATGTGCTATACTTATTAAAAAATATATGTATGTCTATAAAATATTTTTTCAGACATTTTCTTAACATTCCAATTGCTATTTTATGTTTGTTATTGTATGTCAGATTCCATTAATGAGAAAATAAATTATTATAAAAAATTCTTCTTAGATTGCTTAAAAATTTTGAGTAGAGAAATCTCAACGGAATCCTGACGCATGATAACTACTTTATACTTAATTATTCATATTAAAAAAATATTCCTAGGCTCCAAGTTTAAACCCTATATGAATCTCCTTTTGGAATATTCTCAAAACCAAAAAGTATTTACTGATCGTGAGATTAGGGAACATGTGGAGACCATTATAGCGGCTGGAGAAGATACCTCTGCTGGTGTTGCAATGTATTGTTTATTGTTAGTTGGTGCTCATCCTAGAGTTCAGCAAAAAATATACGAAGAGTAAGTTCATAAAATTAAACTAATATTAGTTTAATTTGTCACGTTTATGTAATATTTGTGTTATTTTATAAAATCTAAGACTCGAATGAGTTCATCGTCACATCTGTGACATAATGAACTGGTCTGATAATGTTATAGATTAGAAATGTATGATGGTCAAGGTTTATATTGAAATACTATATTCAAATCGTAGATTAAAACAAGTCTTTGGTGACGAAGATAAAGATGTGGTGAAAGAAGATCTTACAAAACTGGTTTATTTAGAAGCTGTTATAAAAGAAAGTATGCGTATTTATCCAGTTATATCTGTAATCGGACGATATATTGACAAAGACGTCAAATTGCGTAAGTAAAACATATTAACTTCATATATTATATAGTTATAAATATATTATTTAAGTAGAAATTAAATCAAGATATTCATTCAAAACGTTGCCTAAGTATCTTTAATTAACAACAAATATTACCCATGTAGGCAATTGTACGTTATCAAAAGGGCGGACTGCATTTTTATCAATCTATGGAGTACATAGACATCAAATGTGGGGTCCAGATGTCGAAGAATTTAAACCAGAACGATGGTTGCACCCTTCTACTTTACCAAGTCATTCCAACGCTTTCGCTGGTTTCAGTATGGGTCGAAGAACATGTATAGGTAATGATATTATTAAATCGATTATGATATTGGTTATTTTTTAAACTATCTATGTTTAAAATAATCTCCTTTTCAGGAAAAACATACGCCCTGATGAGTTTGAAGATCTCAATGACTCATATTTTTAGAAATTACATAATATACAGCGACCTCGGTCAATTAAAACTAAGCCTTGAAATTTCATTAAAAGCTATCTCTGGTCATCATATAACAATAGAAAAAAGAAAGAAATAAATAGCTTTTAATATACAATTTAAAAATAATACATTTCCTCGTGCTCTTTATTCCTTTTTTAAATAATACATTTCCTCGTGCTCTTTATTCCTTTTTTAATCATATGATATACCTTTGTATTTTTTCTGTGTATAGGGAATAGTATTGAGCGTGGGGCACAAATAGAACCGGGGAAAAAGATGTGGTTCATCCCCATATCTTTATAGAAAATAGAGGTAATTTGCTGTCTAACATACGAGTATGTAAGCAAACTCATCATCTCCAAAATACTGTATAATGATATAAAACCTAGTTTCTATTTTTACAATTTATATTTGATTTGTATAGTGTGTACTATCTAAATTCCGAGATTTAAATTGACTCGCCTATATTCTGAACAAGTAATTTTGTACCCAAAATTTTAATTCACTTAAGGACATACCATATAGACATATACATATATTATTATTAATAAAATGTTGAGGTGAGAGTTGTTTTTACTTATGACATTCTTCAACTATGTACTTTAGGTGGTGTCAGAAATATATAAAAAAAAGCATCTGTTTTGCAACAGATTATGAAAATCAACTTGGACATCTGTCCATAAGCTGATTTAGTCTGATTTTGAAAAAATTTTTCTTGTACAGGAAGGCATGTAGAAATTTTATAGGAAAATTGAAAATGATTTCACGGTGTTTTTGTTAAAAATGGAATATATTAGCAAGTAAACCTAATATTTGCATTCTTATAAAAAAACAGATGCAACCTCGGAAAAAGATTTGTATCTCTTACCCATGAAATAGAATAACACGGGTCGAACCATGACTTCGGGTTCATCCCAGAAAACAACTCTATACCAGAGTTAAAAAAGAAAAAACAAAACCGTCAAAAATTATAGTATCACCAAATAAAAAAAGTAAGGCATGTAAAATTTCACGGGTTTTGTGGTATAGCAAGAATATTAAAAAAGGCCCCATTTTTATTTTGTGACAAAAGACTATCAAAAAATTTTACATGCTTCATTTTACTCAATTAATAAAATTCATAATTAAAACATTGTAAACAAGAGGTAATTTTAATATTAGTCAAATTTTACCTAGCACCCTGAAATTAATATAAAAAGACAAATTGTCACAACGTTACCTTTTCTTATATCTATGTACATTAACAACAAGTTTCTGTTAATAGTAGTTAAACTAAATACAATATTAGTTTTAAAGTTGCTTCAATTACTATTATTATTTAATTTGAGGTATGTTTATACCTTCCTCAGACATAAGTTACCCTAGATTTTGTACAAATAGAATTTTATATTTAAGTTATCTTTCTTTTCATTAAACGTCTGATTTCAAATTTGGGACAATATTGTATATATTAGATCATTAATTATTAGCCAAAAATTTTAAAAAATTAATCACATTCTAAAATAAGTATAATTACTTTGTATTGAAACAGATTTATTTGATTCGAAATGTAATATGTGCGCAATAATGTCAAATGTTAAAGGATAAAGAATACATAGTCGATCATTTGTCCTTCCACGTCGATAAAGTTTCCTTTGCTGTAAAAACTATTCTTGCCCTTTATAACAAATAGGTAATTGAAAAGAATACGGTATTTTTTTAAAAGTAGGTAGGTAAGCTTTTGATTATGAGTTTGTTTCAATCATGCATGTTATAATTTTCATTGCTTTTTATTTCTTCTTTCAATTGTGATATACTGTCCGGAAATAGCTTTCAGAGTAAGTTCATACTTTAATTTCATATTTGTATGATCGCCGTGAATTACGTACTTTCGAAATATGTGAGCCATAGTAACCTTTAGCGCAGCGTTTGCCATGGTTTTTCCTGGAATTAAATAAGGTTATTATGTCGTTAAACTTAAAAACATATTATATATATTTTTTTGGAATTAATATAAAAAACATCCAAAATATATTTACCTATACAAATTCTGCGACCCAAACTAAAAGCAGCAAAATATTTGTAATAACTTGATGGTGGGGAAAGCCACCTTTCTGGTCTAAACTCATCAGCGTCTGGACCCCACATTGGATGTCGATGTATTCCATAGATCGATACAATTGCAGTGCGACCTTTTGATAGCGTGCAGTTACCTTAATAAAGTTATATTATGTATTAAATACTCAATAGTTTTACAAAAAATAAATACAAACTGTTATAATAAAATTACATACGTAGTTTAACGTTCTTATCGACATAGCGTGCTATAGCAGGTACCATTGGGTAAAAACGCATTGTCTCTTTAATTACTGCATCTAAGTAAACTAGTTTGGTTAGGTCTTCTTTCGTCACATCTCTGTCTTCATCGCCAAAAATCTGTTTTAACCTAAAATCAAAAGCCTTTTAATATATAGATCAGTTTTTGATATCAAATTTTTTTCAACATAAAATTTAATAGTGCTCTAAAAAATTTCTATCTTTAAGTTACTTTTATCTCGTTTAGATTTTGAAGTTAAAATGGATAGAATCATTTTTGCAACTTAGAATAAAATCCTTCCCAAAATAAGTTACAGCTATGATGTCGATTTTATTTAGGTTGATCACTGTTATAATATCCTATTATCTTTTCTATATAGGTATAACATTGCATTACATTTATAATGATAAAAACAGAACTCGAAAAAAACAAAAATATAACATTACATATTTACTTACTCTTTGTATATTTCTTCTTGCACTCGTGGATAAGAACCCACTGTTACCAAACATAACATAATAACCCCGGCGGAAGTATCTTCACCAGCTGCAATAAATGTGTCTATATGTTGTCTTATATCCTGATCAGTGAATTGTGTATTATTCTCACAAATTTTCAGAATAATTTCTGCCAATGGTTCGAAATCAAAACCTAGAAAAGCGAGATGTTTTTTTTTTAGTTATATTATTAAAAAATATATTACTTTTGTAAAATGAAAAAACCAAACCTTTTGTTGTCTTCTCTTCTGTATTTAAACATTTATTTTCTTTATAGCTAGTTTTGATTTCACTGAGAACCTAAAACATATTTATTATAATGAAGCAAAAATCTGATCATCAGATCAGCATGTAAAATTATCAGTTTTTGAGAGTATGTGAATTACACTTATAATTTACAAATGGACCTGTACGGAATGTTGGACTAAATTTAAAAAAAAAAAGTAAAAATATAAAATAAAGCAAAAAAATTGAGAAGAAATTTTTTTACAATAGTTATATCACAAATGTATGTATAAAACTATGAAAAACACTTTTCTGGCCACTTTTAAAAAAACAATAACGTATTTTTTTAGGTATTAGGATTAAGCTTTAATTTTTTGACGTCAAATTTTAATACAGCTTAACTGGTTTCTGCAACAAAGTTTTATTTCTTTTAATATAAATTAATCGAAGGTTTATATGCAGGATCTCTATGCAGCCAGGTTTACGGTCCATACGAAAAAAATCAAGACAATTGTTGAAACAAAAAAGAGAAAAATAACATATGGAAATTAGGTTCAAGAAACTGTTTAGAAAATCACGGCAAAAACCCACGCACCTAATAATCTTGTTTTCGATTTTAGGTCAATCCCTTCCTATTGCAATAAATTTAATCTTTAGTTTGTATTTATAAAAAAAAATAACTAAAACTATGAAGACTGACTCATAGAGTTAAATATAAATAACGGGAAACTATTTTGTAAGAGAACTTATGATCGCCTTAAATTACAAACTACTAATAGACTAAAACCATCAAATGAGGCTTATATTGTTACATAATGTAAAGTATTCATTTCAATTCGTTTATAATTTATATAAATTAGTATCTCCTTCAAAATAACCTATCATTATTTTTTTCAAATATATGGTTTTTAAAGAGTGAATGAAACGTTCATTATAAAGATTAAGACATTAATTTTCCATGTATTAGTCCCAATAATAAAATTTACGACCATTGTGGAAACTATTCAATTCATATTTTTTTTTATCACAACTACACCAGTTATATATCCAACATTAATTAAATATTAGAGCTGTAGTGTATGTGTAAAATTTTTTTAGTAATATACTCACCGTGCTTGTAATATTACGCATTGTCTCAATACATTCGTCTTCTTTTTTCTTTAAACTGGAAAAACTGTACATAAAATTGCTATGAAACAAAAAAACTTGAATTCTAGATATATAAATATTCATTATTTCATCTATCTTTTTCATATATTTATTTTTAGATTCAAGGTTCTCCATTAACTTGGTTCCAAAAGAAGCCACTGTAAAATACATTAAAATAAACCTGTTAATTTGTTAATATATAACAAAATCTCTATCATATTTATAAATAAAATTAGAAAAAACATAATAAATAATCCACTCCAAAAAAAAAAAACACTAATTTTATATAATTCGAAAAATTTATTTAACTTTTACTTTATGCACTAATTGTCAATGATTGAAGACGATTGTTTAAAACGATATGTGTAAATACATAAAATTTAATAAGTGCTTAAATTGTCCAGGGAAGTAAAATCAGTACTAAGACATAACAAGAACACGAGGTAAAGTTTTTTATCTATGGCATAACGGTTATTGTGGATAACCTTGAATAATGTTATAGTTGTACTATCAGCTCAGATGGTGTCAACTTCATTGAGGAGGACTTAAAACATGCAAAAATAAACTTGAAAATTTGTTAAGGACAATACGTCTATAAATGAGTCGGGTAGGATAGTTTTGGAACAATTTTGACTGGCTAAATAATGACTAAGAAGATAATATATGATAAGAATTAAAGCAGATTTCTAAGACGCAGGAAAAGGTCAAGCGAACCAGATATCAATTAAGTGAACTTGTTTAGTAAACTCATCAACACCCATAGCTTTAACAAGAACGACAAAGATTATAAAGATGTTTTATTTCTTACCTTGTTATTTTGTGAAAAATAAAATTATTTAAATGAAGTGAGGTTCGAATAAAAAAGTTGAACAAAATATAGAGTGAAAATATAAATGTATATATATATTTGGAAGTTCAAATCAATATTTCGATTAATCTATTCAATTTTTTTACCTACGGCTAAAGTTTTTGATAAATTTCACGTGTGTTGATGTGAAGCGTTTGCAATCGAAGTGAAAATATGAGGACATTTCCTAGCTTTTTATACAAATAAAAATTAATTTTTTCTGGATAATTTTCTGCATTTATTAATAGCTGTATTCCTTTGGCCCATATGAGTTACAAACTATTAATTCTTGAAACGTCATCGTCAGAAGAAAAAAATGAAAAAGATTGTCAAAAATCGCTATACCGCTCAGAATTTATAATGAATAATATAAAAGTATAACAAAAAATAGAAATTTAAATATCATGTTATGAGTATATTTGTTCAAGAGTTAAAAATAAATAAAAGCAACAAAAAGTTTTAGAATATAAAAGTGTTATTATTTTGAAACCTCTTTTTTGGTTGTAGTATTTTATTTCTACAAAGATATTTGTCGCGAACATTTTCAAGATGTATAAAAATGAAATAAGGTAAATATATTTATTATACAATATATTTTTTTATTTTGCATGGTCATGTTATATAATATATAACAGATACTTACTACATATTAATTCCAAGGCATAACGTCTTGAATAAACATAAGGATCAAACGGACCCTTCCCAACTTCTACTTCTAGATTTTTGATAAGGATATGAGATAGACTGTTGAAGATCTCCATAAAATTATTCAATATACGAGCATTGAATAATGGATTTAATAGTTTTCGATGCATTTTCCAAATGGGTACTGTAAAAATAAATATTACATTTAGAACCATAAGCATATTCTAATAAGAATATATTCATATGATTTTGGACTGACATCTGATTAAGAATCAGTCGTTTTAATAACCTTTCTTAACGATCACTTTAATTTTAATGTATGCATTATTAATTCATAATAAACAACAACAGCACATAAATTTTACATTTTTATACAAGCGGAAAATTTCTGAAACAATGGAAACATTGTGAGACAACAATCACTAATGTGATTGACTTAAAAGGTAGTTTATTTTAACGAAAGGCTGGAAGAGATAGTCTTGAAGTTAAAAAAATTACATTCTTCTTTTTATTGAGCTGAACAATACCATTATTAAGTTTAATATTTTTTAAAGATTAAACCGTAAGTTTAGAAATATAATAAAAAAGTAACAGATAGCATTATAATTATAATTGAAGAGAATATTTTTCTACTATATTTTATAAAAAGCTGTATTTTCGAAGAATCAGGAGCAATATCCTCATACGACTTGTGAATCAATGAAATTTTTCTGTTATTGATGTTAAAGACCTTTATTACGTCATGGAATTTGTATACAAACTAATTTATTTATTGGTTGCAATAAAGTTGTTTTTAAAATAATCAATTCATTAATGTAGAAATTAAAGGTCAGGATACATATAAGGAAACGCGTTTTAAATAATTTGTGAATATTTCTGTATTTTGAACAATATATTCAATATTTTCTACTGATACTACGTGTTTCCTTGGTTTGGGGGATGATGAGACAAAGTCAAAGATTTTTATGTGTCAAGATTTAAAGATTCAAGCAATATTATAACTATTTGAAATATTGGTAGATGAAGTAATAAAGTCAATCCTTGATATTCACAATAAGTTAAGTATTGTTTCGGTATATAGCTTTTTTATTAAAGTTCCGGTTGATTCTATATATTTATACTCTTTTTAACTCTTTTTTAATATAACACGTTGTTATACAATTATTGTTAGCGAATTTCTTAGAAAATACTTTAAGTGAATAATTAAGATACTATATTTTTTTAACTTTTTAAATGTCTTTACAACCGTTCAAGTTACTCACGCGATGACGTGATGAGGCCATTTCCAATCCAGTTTTTTGCGAAGTCATAAACACTATCCTTTTCTAAGCACGCATTTGACACAGTCAAACAATCTTCAGGGTCGGTTAGAACTGAAAATATGTAAATGATAGAAACAATAGCATTACCTAAGGGTTGTAATAATAAAAGCCAACAAATTTGAATAAAATTTTATATACCAAACCAAAATAATTATTTTATAAGAATGTATACCATAAACGGTTCGAGGACCTATAGCCAGTTTCATAACTCCATCACGTTTTTGACACTCTCGACTCATTTCTTTTATAAGATTCCAGAAACCTACAATATAGATAAGTTAAAGTTTTTTGTTTATATATTTAATGGCAAAATGACCATTTCAAACTATTTAAAAATATAATAAAAAAATAATTATACGTAATATAAATTTATTGTTACGAATTATTATTACTAGCTATCTGTTATTACCTTTTCAAATCAAGTTATAATCAATGTCTCGTGCTTCAATAAGTTTAATAATGGATAATTAAGTCAGTGTCATAGTAAATAGCTGTTTATTTTAAATTCATTTGCGGATTCTATTAACAGATTGATATTTTCAACAGTATTGTAATCTCAAAGTTAGTATAGCAAAACTAGGTGTACAGTATTATACATTTGTTTTTAACTATGAAACTGAACTTTGAAATCAAACTTAATATTATGAAAGATGTTTTTTTATTACTTAAATGTAATCCTATAAATCAACAATTTAAAAATTATTCAATAGTAGCGGTCTCGATGTTATATTAAATGAAGAAAACTCGAAAATCATTAATTCACAAATATGTTATTTAAGGCCCAGTTATTGTAAAATTAAATAATCAAATAACTTTGACTAAAAGACATGAAAGTCAATGTGTTATTTGAAGTAAGTAAAAAATGAATGCGAATTATTTGTTAATAAGTAGGGTATTAAAAATTAACTTTGTTGTGGTTTTATGTTACTTACCCTCAGTATTTTCCGTTATACGGTATAGTTTTCTCCAGTCTAAAGTAAAAAATGTTGGTGGTTCATCTTTGTTTGCATCTTTTTTTAACCATATCCAAAATAGAAATACCAACGTCCACAGCAATATCAACAGAAGCATCTCGAATCTAACCTATTAATTAATATAAATATTACTAAGAATAAATAATCACACAAATGTAAGTCAAGTACTGATGAGGACACAACCATAAAACTGAGATGAAGATATATCAAACGGGAGTACGAACGTATTTTGTTAACTCTTTAACTCAAACACTTCTAAACCAGTTTGATCAAAAGTAATGTACAGACATTAGAATAAGACTAAATATAACTTTTCTCGGAATTTTAAATAGTTTTGATTGCTTCGGAGTGAAATAGTTGTATTGTCGCGCCATGGATAAAGTAGAAGTGCTAACGTTTGGTTAATATATTTAGCCTTACAAAAAAAATACGTTTCGTTCTGACTCCAATTGACATGTTTACGCGAACGAAGCCTAGAAACCGAGTTTTATTATATAGCTATATTTGATATAATTGTTATCTAAATATTAGAATTTCTATTTCTATTGGGATAAATCATTAATATTAAATGCAAGTAAAACAAAATACATGTTATTGGGTACCAAAATACAACGCAACAAAGTAATATCGTAATCGGTTCATATTAAAGTTCACGGTCAGTCTTGCAAAGGGTGGACAGTGCTGTTAATTTAGGGTTAGTTATGGATAATGAACTCAGGTTCGTCGAACATATAAATTATAAAATAAGGAATGCCTTTTATCGTTTAAAAACATTATATAATATTAGAAAATATCTTTCACAACCCATTAGGAAAATACTTGTCAAATCCATTGTACTGTCTCAGTTTAACTATTGTGACACAGTATACGGGCCACGACTGTATGAAAAAACTAAAAAGGCCATACAGAGAGTTCAAAATGCGTGTGTTTGTTTCTATTACCCTGTCCCCAAACACGCTCACGTCACGCCGTTTCTTAACGATACAGACACATTAAAAATGGAAGCTCGAAGAAAAATACATTTTGCGTGTCTAGTACATAAAGTTATTTTTAAGAAAAGCCGACGTACCTTTACGATAAGCTGGACTGGGTTAGAGACGTGCAGCAGAGATATACCCGTAGGAGAGAAGCAAATAAATTAGTGGTACCAGCTCACAGATCGGCTCAATATAAGAGAGGGTTTAAATACTCTGCCACCAAGATATGGAACGACTTACCCCCTCCTCTGCGCAATAGTACGTCCAACAAAAGTCAGAGTAACAACCTCCAAATATAGTTTCAGTTATACTACCTCATAGACTTAGTACTTATCATATTTATTTTTAATGTCTTGTCTAGGTCTGTCTGTCTGTCTGTCTATCTTATGTCTAAGTTCCATGTGATGTTTTTCTTTTTGTGTTATATGTTTTTTTTTTTGTCAAGGATAAGGGCTTTTTATTTTATTTTTTTCTTATAATTTAATTTATTGATTTTCGAGTGCACGCATTAGTGTTTTGTTTACCCAATATTCAGGGGCCATCTGAAAATCAGTTCTGTGCATTAGCACAGCTTATACTGAGATGGACCCCCTTGCTACACTGTAATCTTTAAATTTAATATTTTTTTCTTCTGTATAACTGTATAATATATGTAATGTATACGTGTAACAAAAAAAAATAATAAATAAATAAAATTAAAAAATTAAAAAATTAAGAGAACCTGTATTCGCCTAGAGAATAATAATTTATTTATTTTGTTAATTTAAATAGCTATTTTTAATAATTATTATTAAACACTGATAAAATTATAATCTAGTTTGTGCACCAAATACTTTTCGAGGAGCGGCAATGTAGAATTGGTACAAATTAAATGTATAATTTTGGGTATATACACTCATCATTAAATTAAATTTATATAGCATATACATTTGTGTAATATATAGGCATCAGACCGCAGTAACAAGTACCTAGACGGATTATTAATGTAACGTAAAGCAAAATATTTATAGTTTTACCATCCACATACAACTAGAACTGTATTTGAACTAGTAGTGGCATTTGATTTCCTTTGATTTTCGATTTTAGATTAGTTCCACCATATTTTATTATACCCAATGTAGATTTATTAAGCAATTCAGTTATATTTTCTGTACCTATATCGATTCAAATGTTCAAAATTTGAATATAATAGAAAAATAACAGCGTTTGAATAAATGCACATGGGTCGACATGCGTTTTATTTAATAAAATAAGAGGCTAATCTATCAAATTTAACATTTGAAAAGTTATTTTCGATATATCATGTTACCGTACAAAATCCTCATGTCCATATAGCTGTTTATAATTGGTAGATGTATCTTAATAATAACACTATATATAGTCTCTTAAGAACTTTAAAAACAATATGATTGATAAAATCAAATAATAATAAATAAAGGTATTTTGCAATACTATAAAATATATAACACTTTTTATTATTAGTTGGCTCTCAAGAGCTATAGAAATATAAGCGTAATAAACGACAACTTTTTTAATATAAGTACGTTTAAAATATATGATTATAAAAGTATAATAAAAATATTTTCTTATCGAATATTTATGAAATGGCAAAGCTATTAAAAATGATTGATGTTTATTATGTAAGGTAGCATATGTAATAAATAAAAAAATATTTTTTAAATATTTACCAATACAAGTGTCCAGTAAGTTTCGGTGATGCATACGCGACTAAATATGAATGAAAACTGACTTGACGCATATCAAAGTCGAAATAATATATTCGGAAAAAGTTCATTCTTGTAATATTTTTAAACCTTCCGCCGCAACGCGCGTCGAGAGTAGCAACTGATACACAAAAATAATCCTTATACATAGCATGAGTCTGTATTCACACGCGATGACTTATTATTTCATGCATAACTTTGGTGTTTCTACACCGATTTACATGATTCTTCTTTTATTGAATAGGTTATAATATTAACTTTGTTTAATTATGAATGAGTGATAGTGTAGTAAACGTTAGAGTAGAGAAATACAATCAGAAATCTATCGGGAGTTTGTCGTGTTATTGTGAGTCAACCATAAAAGATAGACATATGCTGTCCAAGAATAATTTTTATATAATTTTAAGGAAAATATTTTTGTCACACACGATTTCTATGTAGCTTTAATCTTTAAGCCCCCACACGCGATGGAAGCTTAAAAAATGGAGTAACTTTTCCCGTTTTCCCAATATTTCCCTTCACTGCTCTGCTCCTATTAATTGTACGATATTGAAAAGTATACTATAACTTGCCCAAGAGTATGAAGAATAACTGTGCCAAATTTTGTTAAAATCCGTCGAGTACTTTTTGTTTCCATAACGAATAAACAGTCAGACAGACAGACAAAAATTTTACTGATTGCATTTTTAGCATCAGTAGCGATCCCTAACCGTTGATTGTTAATTTTTAAATATATTTTATGTACAGAATTGACCTCTCTACAGATTTATTTTAAGTATATGTAGATAATTACGGAAATACAACTTTTCTAAAGAATTTAACCTAATTGAAAATTTTGTTAATGCAAGAAATTTTACACTTTGGAACCTGACGCCAGTACAGACGTCAGTACAAACCAGACTATGGTAATCATATGCAGTTTTTTATTTTATATAATGATTTGTTAAGCACAGTAAAAATACAGCTGAATGATAAAAAGTATCGTAAATAAATGTAAAAACCATCTGAAGGCAATTAAAATAACCTAATAATAAACAAAACCCATATGTATTGTAAATACGAAGTATTTATGTACATGTATCTACGTTGGTATCTATCATATAATTATTGATATAAGAAGAAGTGAACGATCCATGTTCTTCATTATTATAATTTTTTCTTATTAACTGGATGATTCTTATCTAAGAGAGTTAGCAACAAAGAAGCCTTTGATGGTTTACCGTATACGTTTACTTTAGTATATTTAAAGAAAAACTTATCGTTTTTATCTTTAAGATATCCAAATTTTAAGTCCGTGCCTGAAAAAGGGATACAATATTTTTTTGTAAAAGAGGTAAGCGTATCGTTTTATAAAGACGTAAGGAAGATCTAGAGTAGAAGGATGATAAAAAAATCTAATTGTCCAATTTAAGGAAATAAAGAAATCAAATTACGTAATTCCTACGCAACTTCCCCAATTGCATTCCCCTGAAATAAACGGCTGGGTCTTTTTACGGCTGTGGTCAAGGTTGACTGGATTGTCTTTATATTATTCCGACGGCAATAATGGAAAATTTTAAGATTTGGCTGTCCGAGAATAATGTATATACATATATTTACATTTATGTATTTGTATAGTTGATACATATAAATAAAATTGTAGTCTCTGTTTGTAATATTGAAATAACCGTTTTTCACTACTTGCATATCAACATGATTTAAGTGTACAAACACCAAAACAACTTTTTAGAATTTTCGTCTAACTGTCACTTTATCCCGGCTAATCTTTGAAATTACTGGACCAATTTTAAGAAGACTTTTTATGCAGGTAGTTGATGTAATAATGAGTAGCGGGCAGCTCACGGGCCGCCACGTCGGCGACTTAAGGACATAGGTTACCTTTTATCCCGAATCTCGATCCCGCTATTAAGCATTATCACGCGCAAGTCTGGGGCATATCATGCGGTTCTACTGACGCTCGATGAATGGATCATGGGCAGCTGGGAATAAGAAACACTAAATATGCTCACATGAATTTAAAGATGGGTCAGTTCAGTTAACATCGTCGGACCTATGCGATCTTTAGGAAGTTTTACTCCAACGAGTTTGCTATGTTGTTTTAATTCCTTTAACATATGCATTTCTTATTGCTAGTTTTTGGTTGTCCACGTATAAAAGGTTTACTTATTGTTTAGTTATAACTTTAGAATAGGTATAAATCAGTTATTACATTTTAATATTGTATTAGTAGCTGTATTTATCTACCATAAACACTTAGTACTTACTCGTAGTAGATAGTTTTAGTTATATAAGTAATTAATTATGTAGTAGGTAGTTCAGATTATATTCACTGGATTGTTTTTTTTCCTGTCTGTTTGCATAGTATCTACTTAAAAAGTAGTCTCGGAAAAATGGACAGAAAAGCAGAA